CACAAAACATACGGTGCTGGGCTGTTTTTATAGCACACCTAAGACATATAGGGATTCATTTATTTACTCAGCTATTTAAAAGTGGCTACTCTTACTCATTCTCTGGACAGCTAAATGCCAGGTTGCTAAGTTACTGTTACTTGACATCATCTCCTCCCCAATGTGTTCCCACATTTGACAGGTTCACATGATTTACTAGGCCAGTCAGCTCGTTATTCACTTGTCCAGTGACGTCTAGATAATAATTTTAAATTCACATCATGTCCTCCCCAGAAAGCCCCAAGATTCCACATGAAAATATTTAAACTGCCTGTCAGCTACTAAGTGCATTTGTAACCACACTGGACAAAGTACCTGTATTTTGCAAATTACAATTATTATAATTAGATTTAGCATCGTTCTTCAATGTTGGTTTGTATTTTAGAAGAGAAAACAATTACTGAAGGGCAAATAATGGGCTGTATCTGTTACAGTCTAATTTTGCTCTGTGAACAGCTCACCTTAGCTATGGATGATACATATTAAATCTGTTAGTGATTTCAGTTGGCACAAGAAAGGTAACACTACACATAATTTGCCCAGTCAAGGGCATTTTCAACTGCTGATCAATTTACATCTTCTCCAATGTCATTAGACATGAGGTAGTCACCAGAAGAATAGAAGACCATACAAATTATAGACTTAACTCCAGTCATTTTTATACTAATTACAAACTGAATTATATTTAGGATTTTCTTTGTTTCCAGATTAGAAAGCTTTTAATTAATATCACAGCTGTCCACATAACATCAGAAGTCCATCTAGTTACTTGATGCCTTACTACAGTGAATATGCACCTACAAGAACTCTTTTGTTCCTCTAAGCAGGGACAGATTTTTAGACAGAACTGCCCGCCCAGCTAGTTAGCAACACAGACACGAATCTTTATGTGTACAGACCAGAGCCTCTCTTCTGTGGGATTACGTCTAATCGATTGCCTAAACACCTAGCCCAAAGTTTCAATTAACACTACAAGTCCCCAAGAAAATTTAGTTAAATAAAATTTCCTTTCTTTCCCGTGTAACGTATGTTTATCACCTCTTTACCCAGAAGTAAACCAATGCTAAGGGAGACCCCGTCTGCGCTCTCTATGGGCAGAAAAAAGATCACTGGTAGTTGTTTCAGTGTCACACCTACACATCCCTCTATGTCTGGACCAGCACAATGGTTCACATAACATGCAATGACAGCAAGGTACTCTGATGTAAAGCACTGGTACAAATGGCACAAGTAACAGCTTCAGAGTCCTGGTTTAAAATTCCAGCTCTCCCGCCCCATTTTCACTTTGTATCACAACATTTCAATGAACTCATTTTTCAATGGCTGCACATAGCAAGTGACAACTTAATTTAAATCCATATTAATAAAATGTGAATTACACACACACATACTGCTGATTGCCTGTCTTCCATGTTACCCATATTTTTAAAGCCATTATGTTGGTTTAAAAAAATAAGCCACATTTTGAAACAGAAAAAAGTATACCGACCACCAGTGTATTCAACTTCATCTTTCAATTTGGTATCAGCAACCTGTATCAAATGCAACTCTCCTGTACTACCTTTACAGCTTGACCTTTGTGTACAAGGGAGATTATTTTTTTAATTATTATTATGTTTAACAGTCTTCTCAGCCATCCTGGTTAGAAAAGCAAAATCAACAGGAGACTGGTCTGACATTAACCTTTGGTTGTAGTATCAGGAACAGTCCTTAAAGCATTTATACAAGATGACATAAGTGGCTAAGTGTTTCAGGAAATCTGAAGGACTGTGAAATTTTGTCTCTGAAGACTCAGGGGTCTGAACAGACTCAAGACCTTTCCCTTCACTCAATTGGAAATTTTTGGCCATAAGCTCAATTAAACATTTTTTTTTTTTTCCTATGGAAACAAACAAAAAAAAAAAGATGACAGAGATTAGGAATTGCAAGCCTCTACAATTACAAAAACCATTAATCAAGTTCAGCTTGAAAAAAGAGCTCTGTAAAATCAGAGGTCGCAGATGTTAGCTTAGGTCCCTCTTCCTTGTAAAGTCTAGGAAAAAAATCTACAAGAGTTGCTGTGTCTTTCTGAGGGGTGAAACTGAATTAAGTCACTTTATTCCCTGACTTTAAAAAAAAAAAAAAAAAAAGAAAAAGAAAAAAGAGAAAAAAAAAAAGAAATTTTCAAGGCATGAAATGTTCTCAAGGCAGACTGGCAGGACTGGGGCAAGGCAGGCAGCAGGACCCAGCCTCTGGCACTTTGGGGTGCACAGCTCAGCAGCAGACATGGCCCCGGGCAGAAATTGCCAGTCATTGCCAATGGTCTGGCTGGCCAAAATGCACGCTATTACAGCCCCAACTGTCTACCTGTGGGACTTGACTGTCTTGTAATCCTTCTTGTTTACCTCTGCAACATCCCTGACAGAACAGAAATGTTGATAGCCTATTTTTTTTTACGTGGGGAAGCTGCCATCAGGGAGCTGAGGTTCTTACTCCCAAGGCTCTTCAGAGCCTATGTCAATGGCCCCAAAAGGTCAGAAAGTATGTCAGGGCTGGGCACTTAGTGCAGGTTCTCAAAGCACAAATTACTGCCGAAATCAAGGGTCATCCTTCCATCTGGAGCAGACAGCTTGAATGTCCTGACGCAGGGCTTCCATGGGGAGCCAGAAGACTGTATTTTGACCACTGCTGGTCATCACATTCTCCTGTTTTCTCTGCATTGCTTATCCAGTAGAATACGATACTCTGCATGCAGCCAAAATACATCCCCTGCTAGCTTATGCGGCATTATAAATTTGAGAAGAACAAAGTTATTGACAAAACTCAGGTACTTCCACTTCCACATGTACTTCAGCACTGTACAAAACTGAAAGCCTAAAATGCTGCCACTAAGGGCCACTATTTGGGGCTGGGGTTTGCTGGGCCTTTGATGGTCAGCCCCAGAAGCGACTGTGTGATTTGCTGCTTTCATACACTCAGGGCCTTGCTGGCAGCCTGTAGCCTGCTTGCAGACAGGTTACAAGGAGGCCTAACGCTTGGAAACCTACATAGCTGTGCACCCCAGACAAACCATGGCCACGGGGGAGCCCACACCCGCTCCCTGGCACAGGCAGTTTCATATACTCAAGATGGCTACTGGCTATGCCTATGGCCACGGCTGACAGGTTTGCTCTGTGGCTGGGTGGCAAGGCTGGGCACAGGGGGTACCTCTGGGCATCTGCACCTGGCAGTCAGGAAAGATCTGCCAATTTGTGTCCCTTTTTCAGATGCCCATTGGACGCCCTTATGAGACAGATCCCTGGAGACATGAAAACCTGCTAAATCCAATCCCTGCTCTGTCCACCCCAAGAATCCTCCTGAGTTTAACAGCCTACTGGTGGCAGAAGGTGCTGCCTGAAGCTGCAGGGAGTCTGCAGTTCATCCCTGCCTTTTGATGACAACAGAAAGTCCTGCACCAATCTCAGCATGTTTCAGAAGGAAGCCCAGGACCTTCTGCCTCTGCTGACTCAAATTACAGTCATGGGGTAGGAAATAGGATCACCTCCTCATTAGAAAAAAGACATTTCTCCTTCCTGTGATTTATATGCACTGTTCCCACATTAAAACTGTCATCTGGATGATTGATCCCTGAAATTCACTACATCACATTTCCTTTTGATGTTGTTTACTGAAAACAACTGCTTTCCCCAGCTAACAAGTCAGTCATTCCAACTGTAGTAATGAACCTAACTGAAATATATAAACAGGGGAAGAAGATATACACCAAGTGTTTTGCACAGCCTTCCAATATTTTCTTTGCTTTTGCTCCCTTAGTGTCCTATAGGTAATAAACCCTTTCTCACTTTGAAGGTTGAAACTAAATTTTATTTATTTCCTTACATTCACTGCTGCTGGGTGCACATGCAGATGTACACTCCTTCATTACTGCAGGTCTGCACATGCATGCTTGCCTGCTGGTTCAACATATTTCTGAAGCAACAATGGCAACTCATACGGACATCAACAGCATCCCAAGATAATGTGTGTACACAAAACAGGTGTAAGTTTCCCAAACTCTGGATTGCAATGAATACTGAGAAGCCAATTTTATTTTACAAGCAAGAATAAGTCTGTGTCTTTACAAGCAAGTTGGCATGACAGTTACACATGATTTCAGGTCTGGGTTAGTTTGGACCAGTTGCTCCCAGTGATAAGGACATGGCCAGCACAAATTCCCACCGAAATTTTATCCCCTCTACACCGAAAACCAGCAGGTTGACTGGAAATCCCAGGGAGGTAGCTTTGACAGATGGGAAACTCAACCCATGAAGATAAAAACTTAAATCCCACATAGGGACTCATGGGTTACAAACGTGCCTCCTGAAAAATCTCACTGCCAACATGGGACCCCAAAGTTGGGTCATCTGACAAGCCCATCTGACACTTAAAGTAAGGCAGATTTATACATATACAACTTGTGCACACTCACCTTTTTCTTGTTATATGATCTTGTTGCAATTAAGCCATATTCAGTTTGGAGAGGTTGTTTTTATTTTCTGTATTCAACCACTGACCAGAGCTCCCAGAATAAAATGTTTGTAGGTCTTTAACAAAACCATGAACGATGAGCAACTGTAGTTTGGGGGAAGAAGGAGGAAGACTGTAGGTCAGTCTGTGAGTGGGAGAATTAAGGTGACTCCACCTTAGGGTAGGAGAGACGTGTCCCGGAGAGACTCACAGAGACTGAGATCTTAAAAAAGAACAGGAATTGGTGTAAATCCTGACAGAAACAAGCTGGCAGATGCAGAGTAGGTGGTGAACTGACCTTACTCACTAAGGAATACCCTGGGCCTTCCCCTTGGTTATGTCTCTTTAATACAGACCCACTAATATGTTATTATCTAACAACAGTGTTAAAGACAGCCATAAAACCTTTCTTCATAAAAGATTAAATAACAACACTACAATTAACAAAAGATACAAAAGCAAAGGGTATTACTCACCCGTAATATTTCTTCCACACAACTGGAGTCATTGGGAAGGGTAACCTAGGTTTAAAGAAAAAAAGAAATGTTTAATCAGGTGCTAGATGCAAAGTTCAGTGACTATAACCACACAGGTGAACAGCTCATAAGTAACTGCCTCTGTTTGAAGACTGCTGTATCCACACCTGCTGCCTACCAAATTTTCCAGTTCAGATCAACATAAATCATCAGCAGAATCCATTTTGTCAAAAGTTGTGGTTTTTTTTTTTTTTCCACACTGCTTTGTGCTACTAACAACACTTTTGAAGCAATGAAGTACTCTGATTTCCCCACAGATGAGAATTGGCACTAGAATTTCCTGAAACTTCTGTAATTGAAGAAGATCCCACTGTTACTCCTATCGACAGCCTTCAGAGAGAAGGCGAGGTTTGGTTTAACTTGCCGCATGCTGCAGCAAAGGACAGAGGTGATAACAGTTAGGGGAAAGTTGTTATCCTCAACTATCTTATCCTACAGCTTAATAGGCTAACAGCCAAGACAGCTCTTAAAACTTAAACATACAACATAGTAAAATATTGATTGGACTATAACGGTGGCTGCTGATTTTGTTGTCCCTCACTTCATAAGCCTGGTGCAGGTTAAGTATTCTCTGAAGACTGAATAGCACACAGGAATCCACCTTGAGAGGTTTGACAGATATTCCTTCTCCCCTTAGAAAGATGCAATATATCTAAGCCCACAACCATACACACCCCACCCCCACCCCCATCACACAGTAGTGTCCTTAACGTCTTATAATTGAAAATACTCATTTAAAATGGTACTTGCAGCATTTGCTGCAATACATCATTCCAAGGACATGAAAGAGCATAAAACCTCTAAATAGTGTCAACAATTACATAAATAACGAGGCAGACATGACCCATATGTACAGCCTTTTTGTAGCACCTGCAGGTACTTATGATAGGTTCTTATCATGGTGGTACAGCAGAGGAAGAGATGATATTCAGGAAGGTACCAAAAAACAGGTAAGTGCTTTGTACCATAAGTATTCAGGGAGGCTTTTCTGCCCAACGCTGCTACCTTATTATCCTTGGTATCTACTTTGGTAAAAGATATTCATGACTAAAGTTAATCCCTGTCATCCTAATCTCCTATAGATCTTGACCAAAAGCACCGACCATGGCTTTCCTCTTATATTTCAGCCAGCACTAAGCTTCAAGAATAAATCCACACAGCTACAAAAGTCAAAGACCAGAAAGACATATTAGATCACCAAGTTCATGCTCTGCTAATGTAGCAACATTTTCCCCATTATCTTCTCATACTGTGGCTGGTCTGACCCAAAACCTGTATGAAATGGGTCTTCCATCCCTTTCCTTAATGAAATATGGAGCAGTGTTGTAAACTATTTGTCCCTTTTTTGTGATAATTGTTAATATTTTGCTTTCAGTGTCACCTCAGTCTTTCTGTAGAACTCTTCCCACTACTCTAAGCAATTACCTCCATTCACATTTACACCACACACAGACATTCAGAATTATACTCTACTTCTCTCAAATGATGTATGTTTAACTTTTACTTTCTCTGATGAACAATCCATCCATTTGGCGCATTTCATCACTGTTCTCTGAATTTTCAACAGTTCATCAATATCTTGGTAAAGAAGTACTGAAGTGAATATGACTACACTGGAGGGATATTAGTGATTTTTATCTACTTCAGCCAATATAGATTAGAATTTTCTGTAGTATCACTTAAAAACAGTCAACTGACGAGAAAGAGAGCCTTAGCTTTTGTCCCCAGTTTCTACTCAGCTCAAATTCTACCTAACAAACCTAGTCTGAGAACTTCCAGTGGATGGTCAGCATTAACTGCAATAGGCATGCAGTCCACACTCATACTGCATAACCTAATATACCAGCACTTCATTGGCCTTCCTTCATCCCCCCTACTTTTCACTTAAATCTCTTTTTTCCCTCTCAATACCTGTAAATTCCTTGCTAATCTGTGTTTTCCATAACTCATGCCAACTCTCCATTCAGCAAGGAATGTAGTTAACCAAAATATTAGCAAGCACCTGTAGCACTGCAATGTGCAGTGGGATAGTGGGAGTACATACGTCTGTAACACACTCCTGACTTTTTTCATTGAAAAATTAGTATGTTGGAATATGAGAAAACAAAACAAATACTCCCCCAATAAGCTTGCACTGTAGACACCAGCTACAAAATATCTCACAGCAGTAACAAGAGCAGACCAAAATCCAGCTGAGAGAGTCGGACTCGGAAGAGCGAGCGCAGCAGAGGTACAGAAGCCCTCACTTTATTTAACTTCCCTCCCTACCATTACACATGCCATTTCCAACAGTTAGCAGAGATACCATGTCTATTCCTTTGTTCAGAAATGTCTTAATTGTGATAATTGTGTCCCTGACTATTAACACAGGGCAGAGCATGTTCTTACTTGTTTCACAGTCTTCTCCCAATTCACAGCCCTGTTTAAGTTTATGTTACTTCAGAACTAATGATGATGATAACAATAAACATACCATTTTACTTTAATAAGGCCCACTATATATTATGCAATCACAACCAGCTTCTGCTGGCAGCACTTGCTAATAACTTTAAATGCTCATGCATCAATTTAATTGTGTTAATGGCATAGAAGATTTTAATGGCTTGACAGAACTTTTGTTCCCTTTGGCATTGCTTTGTTTTGAATCACTGGTATTAAAGTAATACAAGATGTCAAAGTGCTGTGATTGTCATATAGGGAGATCCAAGTAGGAGCTAGCACAAAGAGGAAAACATTTAGATTGATGCAAACATTAAAAGAATAATTATTACAACATGGCTATCAGAGAGAAGATCAATGTAAGAGTCTTTCAGTACATTATTATTAATGGATTTCTAAAGAAATGAGATAATTCTTCTAAATTCATGCTACAGTTGCACATTCTAAGAGACTTGAAAGGCACAGATCTGTTAGAAACTTAGCCTATCCTGTAAAAAAAAAAAAAAAAAAAAGCCTACAGCCTCTCAGCCTTTCAAAGTGTGAATCAAAAATTGCAAGTTTAATTGTCCATAAACACTTGCATTCAGCTAACAAGTGCAAGCAGGCCCACATGGCACACCGCAGCCTCCAAGCACAGATTCATCAGGACAGAATGAAACAGAGCAGATAGAATACAATATTCATCACCTTCTCAAGTACTAGTGCTGTAACAAATTGTTATTGGAATTGCCATTAATAAAATGCCACATTCTTCCTGCAGTTTAGGCAAGATTGGACATCCATCCCATAGTACTACTTTCCTAATCTAATAAAAATCAAGTAGTTTAGGACCCATTATTTGACTCTCCACTCCCTCTCCAGCTTTCATCAGTAATCAGATTCTAAAAAGGAGGACACAGCTTGCATTTGTACACTTTTGGTGCTTTTCTTCCCCTGTGAGCAGCATGGCCTAACTCAGACAAAAACACAGATTCTGGGAGTTTGGCCTCCATAAGACCAAGTAGTTGCATTTCACATCATGAGCTCTTCTCTCAGCTGGCAGTGAATTCATTAACCCTAGACCGAAGAACAGTGAATATCACATAAGCTGCAAACAGATGTTCTGAGGTAATAAAACTTCAATCAAAACAAAAAGATTTCACAACAGCTACATGCTACACTAAACTCATCTTCCAATTTCATTTTAATCTGGCAAAATTCTTTTAAATCAAAATGCTTCATGTTAACGTTTAAATATTGGTTGCTAAAAAAAAAGAAAGATGAAAAAAGTAAAGATCAGATGGCAAAATATTACACCTAATACAAGTCAGTATTATAAGGCTCTCTTCACATTTCGGTCTCACAAGAGAACAGAACTTAAATGATGTGGAACCAAAGGTTTAATGTATGGCTTGGATGGCTCAGTGCTAAACTTTAAAGGGAGGGAAGGAGGGCAGAAATCTAAGAGTGAGGGAATAGTAGCCTTTAATGTTATGCAGATCAAATGACATTGGGTGAATGGTTACAATATCTGATGAGTCATGTTGATCTAACCTTCCATTTATTCATTCAACAGTTCCTTGACCACTCTTACCTCCTGGACAATTTATAACCTGCATGAGATCAGATTTTGTTTTTGTGGCACAGAAAAATCATATAAAGTCTCTTTTCCCTGTAATTTACATCCATCAGCAGGCATTTCTCAGAAATGTTAGCAACAAAATCTTCCAACAGACTTGTCAGAATAGTTCTGAAAATTCAAATGTAGTGTCAGAAAGCAGAAATACACAATGAATAATGTCTTTGCCAGAACTGACCGACTACATTTTCATCTGGATAAACTGTTTGTGAACAATTCCTCCAGTTTTACTGATGCGCAATTGGCATTTAACAAGTAATCTCTTCTTCCTATCTTTATTTTATTGGAAAGATAAATGTAGTATGTTAAATGAATGTTAGAACCCACCCTCATTTCTTGCATATGAGCACCTATGTGCTTATACATCAAGAGCTCAGCTTTCATTGTCATCTCTTTTATCAAGGAACACATTTTGACTCCAGGGAGATGAAGCTCATACTACTGTTTACTCCTTCAAACACAAATTGATTTTTCACTTGCTAGCATGAAAAGATCCTGTGCATGAACCTTGACTGATCATTTCCAGTGTGCACTACACAGTGATAAGAGGAAAACACTTAGAAAACCAGAAGCAGCAAACCCAGGACTTTTAGTAGAAGCCTCATCCTATGAATGCCTTCAGCTCCTGCCAGGCTTCCTACTAACAGAGGGCATTTCTTTTTTTAATACAAGTGGGAAATGGCTTGGGCAGTACTAAAAATAGCAGGGTTTCCAGATACAAGACGTTGGACTAGATGACCTTGAACATACTTCCAACCTAAATGAACCTATGATTCAATTTTTGCAATATGCTCACTACAAATCTAAGAAGATGTAATACTTTACCTGCACTTGAATGGAGTATACACCCATGCCTTTCCACAACCAACCCTCTTTTGATTGCCATCAGTATTTCTTTGCATGCTCAGGTTTCATTTCCCCTCTTCAG